CACAATTCTCCTTCCCAGATAAGCAAGACAAAGAGACACAGAAACATTCTGAGCCTGTGATAAGCTCTCCCACCCTGAACGCTTAAAAACTCAGTCTGTAAGAGAGAGTGCCTCTGACCTAACTTGTCCGGAAGCCCCTCTTAGGTTTATTCTCCAAAATAAACTTGTCTTTAACTGTTGAACCACTTTTCATGTTTCTTTCCTCTTTCTTTAATTCTTACACTGGCCACAGGTGATTGGTCCAGATGGCTAGCTCTGGACCAAACTGCAACCAATATCTTTCTGTGGGACGTCTCCATGATCCATATAAGCTAGTTTAAAAAGATGTACTGTGGCAATCAGAAGCTTCTCTTAGAAGGTAGAACACTTGACATGATTCATGACTGAGCAGTTGTAAGAATGCCATGTAATTAGGTAAGGACCACAGCAAGCCAACATTTTAATTATACATTAATATTTTCAAATCTCAAGGACATTTGATATTGTTTGGATATTTGTCCCCTCCAGATCTCATGTTGAAATGTAATCTCAAGTATTGGAGATGGAACCTAGCAAGAGGTGTTTGGATCATGGGAATGGATCCTTCATGAATGGCTTAGCACCATTCCTGTGGTGGTGAGTAAGTTCATGAAACATCTGATTGTTTAAAAGTGTGTGGTAGCCAGATGTGGTGGCACACACCTGTGATCCCAGCATTTTGGGAGGCTGAGGTCGGTGGATCACCTGAGGTCAGGAGTTTGAGACCAGCCTGGCCAACATGGTGAAACCTCATCTCTACCAATTTACAAAAATTAGCTAAGTGTGGTGGTGGGTGCCTGTAATCCCAGCTACTTGGGAGGCTGAGGCAGGAGAATTGTTTGAACCTGAGAGGCTGAGGTTGCAGTGAGCCAAGATTGCACCATTGCACTCTATCCAGCCTGGGCAGCAAGAGAGAAACTCTATCTCAAAAAAAAAAAACAAAAAACAAAAAACAACTGTGTGGCACCACCCCCCCACCCCTTGCTCCCTCTTCGCCTTCCATCATGATCCTAAGTTTCCTGAGGCCCTTACCAGAAGCAGATGTCAGCGCCATGCTTCCTGTACAGCCTACAGAACTGTGAGCCAATTATATCTTTGTTCTTTATAAATTACCCAGTGTCAGGTATTCCACCATTACAGCAATGCAAAAATGGCCTAATACAATCCAATTAAAAAAATGGGTGAGGGATTTGCATAGACATTTCCCCAAGGAAGATACGCCAATGGCCAATAAGCACATGAAAAGATGCTCAACATTGTTAGTTATTAGGGAAATGCAAATCAGACCACTTCACACTCACTAGGATGGCTATTATCAACAAGTGTTGAGGAGAATGTGGAGAAATTGGAATCCTTGTACATTGCTGGTGGGAATGTAAAATGGTACAGCTGCTGTAGAAAACAGTTTGGCAGTTCCTCAAAAACTTAAACATAGTTACCATATGACTCAGCAACCCTTCTCCTATTTATATACTCAAAAGAATTGAAAACAGGGACTCAAAGGGACATACTGTAGACCAATGTTTATAGCAGCATTATTCACAATAGCCAAAAAGGTGGAAACAGCCCACGTGTCCATCAACAGATGAATGGATTAACAAAATGTGCCATATAAGTACAAAGAAATATTATTCAGTCATATAAAAGAATGAGGTTCTGATAGATGCTACAACACGGATGAACCTTGAAACCATTATGTTGAGTGAAATAAGCCACACAAAACGATCAAGTATTGTATGATTCCACTCTTATCAGGTAGCTAGAGTAGGCAAATTCATAGAAATAGGTAGTAGAATAGGCCTGGTCCAGTGGCGTGCACCCGTAATCCCAGCACTTTGGAAGGTTGAGGCAGGAGGATCACTTGAGGCAGGAGGATCACTTGAGGCTAGGAGTTCAAGACTAGCCTGGGTAACATAGCAAGACTCTGTCTCTACAAAAAATAAAAATAAAACTTAGCTGGGCATGGTGGTATGCACATGTAGCTTCAGCTACTCAGGAGGCTGAGGCGGGAGGATTGCTGAGAAGGTTGAGGCTGCAGTGAGTCATGATGATTGCATCACTGCATGCCAGTCTGGACAGCAGAGTGAGACCCTGTCTCTAAAAAATAAAAATAAAAAAAGAAAATAGAATAAAGGATACCAGGGGCTGGGATGAGGGAGAAATAGGGAGTTATTACTCAATGGGTAGAGTTTCTCTTTGGGATGATCAAAAAAGTTCTGGAATTCAATAGCATGATGGTTATATAACATAATGAACATACTTGATGCCACTAAACTGTACACTTCAAACGTTATGATACATAGTTAAGGACTGAATGTTTGTGTCCATCCCAAATACACATGTTGAAGCCCTAACCCCATAATGTATATTTGAAAATGGGGCTTTGGGGGAGTAATCAGGGTTACAGAAAGTCATGCAGGTGGGGCTGACATGATGAGATAGTGCCCTTATAGGAAAATATACCGGAGAGCTTGCTTTCTCTCTTTATGCTTATGTGCCAAGGAAAGAGCATGTGAGCATACAGAGAGAAGATGGCCATCTGCAAACCGGGAAGAAAGCCCTCACCAGAGGTCTGGGGTTACAGGTGTGAAGCACCACGCCTGGCCCCTAAAGGGGCTATTTAGAATGAGTACAATGAATATTCATAGAGCCCTGGAAAGCCCCACTTGACACCAGGATTTATAGAAAAGGAGGGGTGGTTAGAGCAAAAGCCTTCAGAGACTTTTGAATCCACCATTGGAAAGGTACCAGATTGCCCAGCTCCCTCTCCCAGCAATGTCACAATGGGGCTACTGACAAGTGTTTGGATTGGATGTCTGTAGACAAGTGTCCACCCTCTCAGCCAATCAGCTGTGGCCAGGAATCATGTGATACCAAATGCAGTGCACAGCAGGGATGGGGAGATTCCTTTAGAAATAAGTGTGAGTGGGGCAAGTTGTAACTGACTCTCCAGTATGAGGCGAGAAGGAGCCATGATTAAGTTCAAACTATTATTGTGACGGACACATAGTTGTTGTTCCATTAATACTTACTCGATAAATAATACATTGGAGCTTGGGTACCACCATATAATTAGTTTTCCCAACATTTGATTTGCTTAAAGTATCCAATGTTTCAATAATTTCCATTTCTCCTACCATACCCACAATGGGTGGTTTCTTTTGAGACACTCAAAGAAAGCCTAGCAATTATGGACTTAGGCTGTGGAGACAGACGGCCTGGGTTTTAAGTCCAGATCAAGTCTTTCCTGTCAGTGTGACCTTGTGCAAGCAAACCTACCCTTCTCTGAGCCTTGTTTCCTCATCTTACAAAATAAAAATAAAAATCACACCTGTTTCATAGAATTGTTGCAAAGATCAAGGGGGACCATGGTGAAATACACAGCCAGGGGCCTGGCATACATTCAATTTTGGATTTTCAAGTCCTTTTATGGATTTGGTATGAGATTGTTCTCAGTTCTCAGATTGGTTTCCTTGTACCCTCTTCCAACTTCCCCCTCCCTTTGTCAACAATGAAAGAAAAAAAAAGTTTCCTTCTTCCTTTAGTTCCTTGTAAGTTCCGATTCAATCGTCATCCTCATAGCTCCTGCCAGCTGCCATCATGGATTATCTTGGCAGTTTTCTGTTGTATCATTTTTCTGCTTTTCTCTTCATTTGTTCCCACTCGATCAGTGGTTTTCACTTCATGGTGCTGGGAAGCTTTTTAAAAATACCCAGGGCCAGGCTCAGTGGCTCACGCCGTAAGCCCAGCACTTTGGGAGGCTGAGACAGGCGTATCACCTGAGGTCAGGAGTTTGAGACCAGCCTGACCAACATGATGAAACCCTGTCTCTTCTAAAAATACAAAAAATTAGCTGGGCATAGTGGCAGATGCCTGTAATCCTAGCTACTCAGGAGGCGGAGGCAGGAGAATCATTTGAAACAGGGAGGCAGAGGTCGCAGTGAGCTGAGATTGCTCCATTGCACTCCAGCCCGGGCAACAAGAGCAAAACTCCAGCTCAAAAACAAAACAAAACAAAACAAAACAAAACCCTGAGGCCGGGTGCAATGGCTCACGTCTGTAATCCCAGCACTTTGGGAGGTCGAGATGGGAGGATTGCTTGAGCCCAGGAGTTTGAGACCAGCCTGGGCAACATAACAAGACCCCATCTGTACAATAAATAAATTAGCTGGCATGAGCCTGTGGTCCCAGCTACTCGAAAGTTTGAAGTGGGAGGATTGCTTTAGCCCAAGAGGTCAGGGCTGCAGTGAGCTGTGCTCATGCCACTGCATTCCAGCCTGGGCAATAGAGCAAGAACCTGTCTCAAAAATAAATAAATAAATATTGAAAAAGTAAAAAAACACCCAGGCTTGGCCTCACCTCCAGAGAGTTGGGTTCAATTTGTTTGAGATACAACCAGGTGATTCTTATATGCAGCCTGAATTGAGAACCATTCATTCAACAAATATTTATAGAGTACCTTCTATGTGCCAGATACTGTTCTAGTACTTAGGACACATCAGTGAAACCTCATGGAGCTTAAGTTCTGAAGGGGGCAGAAATTCTAGTGAGAGGTGGGCTAGGAGAACTATTGAACTAGCTAGGATCTTGAGGGGAGAGACTTTATTTTTTTCCTGTTTTTATGTAGAAATCACCCAATAACGCTTGTTGAAAGGATGAGTGATCTTTGGCCTTCTCATACCTAACTTACATTTTTTTTCTTGATTCGTTTCACTAGACCCTCAGCTCCACGATGACAATGACGGGTTGAGTTGGTCTGTCATACCTCCAGTGCCTATTACAGTGCCTGGCACATAGGCGCTCAAGAAACAGTACTTAAATGCATGGCTGTATTTGTTATAGCAGCTCGGGTTTCAAGAGTGATTACTGATAACATTAATGAATCCCTGCAAATAACATTTAGACAGGCGTCGTCAACAAAAGGGTATTCTTTGGTTCCTGGACAACCATTTCACAGACTGGTGTGCCTTACAGGCATCTCAGTAGTGCATCACCAGCCAGAGAGCCTGTGAACTCCTCCGAGCAGAAAGGCTCTCCCTGCCCCCTCTCCCCGCGCAGCTCGCTCTGCCCTCCGCCTCCTCCTCTCCGCCCACTCTCGCCGCGGTCTCCTGGCGGCGGCGGCTTTGTCTCGTGGGCTAGTCCCCAGCGGCTCCCTCCCCAGCAGCTGCTGCCCGCGAGAGGAAGCCGCGCGGGTGCTGTCCAGCATCCCGGTGCTGAAAACCGGAGGGCTCGTCATCCACCACTACCATGTAAGAGCCATGAGAAGGGCTCGTCCTGGCGCAGCGCGGACATGGAGGAGGACTTATTCCAGCTAAGGCAGCTGCCGTGAGTATCATGGGGGCGAGCAAGAGGCAGACAGGCTTTCTTTTAAAAAACGAAAACCTGCAGGGGGGGTGGGGGGGTGCATCTCTACATAGCTTCTTGAATTTAAAGGGAACTGTTTCAGAGGAAGGAATTAGGGCCTGGAGGAGACAAGCCATTTTCCTTCCCCAGCAGCCCAGCTTCTGTATCTCTGACTCAGTTCCATTTTTCAGATCTGTCAGGACCTTATGGGGAACGACGGGGTTTATGATTTCCCTTTTAATTGCTCTCAATCCTGAAGGGATTTTGAGATGTGTGCTTTAAGAAAGCATTAGCTGCGGTTTTGAAATGTGAACAGAATTGGTGAGTCCATGCAATGACATCGGTCCTTTCCAGCCCTAATCCTATGCTGTGAAATCCATAATTTTTCTGCAAGGTCTTTTGGAACGGAATGATACTGATGTTGCAAACTGGTTGCTAAAAAACTGGAATGCCTTCCTAGAGGAGAGGGTTGGGCAAAGTCCTGTTGTTTATGAAGTGTATGAATGAGAAGGCTGTGCACGGTGGCTGAAACCTCTTGCCTTCTTCTGAATGAAAGGTTTTTGTAGCAGCTAGCTAGAGTGAGACTCACCATCGGAACATCAGGAATATACTCCTTTGAGGATGGGGATTTTTAAGGAAAACCAAATTTGCTCTGAGAATCTTGGGGGAATACCAAGCAATGGAAAGGACAGGAGCCTTGTAGAGGGGCTTACAGACTTTTCCTACCACAACCAGATAGTGATCTGTTAAGTAAATTCGAAGAGTATGAAAGGGGGCATTAAAAAGAACATTGCTGGGGGAAGGAGGTTGTTTTAATTTTTAGAATCACTAAGCCATTTGTGTGGTAAGAGTAGATTCCCTTTGGGTTTGCTAGAAAGGATAAATTATTGTTAGTATGTGTGTATTTTCTTGACTTTAAAAATGGTGGATTTTTTTTCTATAAGCTACTGAGGAATTCTCCCAAGTGACTTTTAGTGTGACTGATACAGTTCTCTGAGACTCTGAGTACTGAAGGTGATTGTAATGTTTACTTTTCAATCAGTGTAAAATTAATTTTCACTTAAAATTTTAATTAAAATTTGCTTTAAATCTTTTACTAATTGATGTACAAATGGCATATCTGATTATGTAATACAGCATTATTTCACAAATGCTAAAGGATGTTTAGTTATAATATCCAGAGGTCGATATAAGAGCACATAAAAATGTAATGGTCTGATTACAAATTTCCCAAGGAAAACATACTTTTTTGAGAATGAATATCATGTTCAAAAATAAAACTATTATCCCCAAATAAAAAATAGTTTAGTATCGGAAATGTGAACTGTGGTACTCAGAATAAGATTGCATATTGGAACTGTGGTTTTCCTGGGACACATTTTTCAATAATGTCAGAGCATGTGAACTTTTCAAAGATTCATGTGTATATGAACTTTGCAAAAGGGTCATGCATATTTAATCTATTAATATATAGACCAGACATTATCATAATTCCTTCCTTAATTGAAAAAAGGAAAAATAGGAAGTTCTTACTTATTTAAATTTAAACATTTAGGCTTTTATAGGAATATAATATAATATACCAATAAATAAAGGTAAATAAGGTTCAAAGAAAAGCACAAGAATAAAAAGTAAGTCTCCTTTCTTTTCAAGCCCCAGTCCTATTCCCCAGAGTTAAGTTTCTTGATTGTTCTTTCTGTGTTTAATAGGCATAAGAGCATATATTATCTATTAGAGAGGCCAAATTGTATACTGGTTAAGTACATTATCTCTAGAATCAGACATACTTGGATTCAAATCCTTTCTCTGCCACATCCTGGCTGTGTGACTTTAAGCAAGTGATTTAACCTTTCTGAGACTATTTCCTTAGCTACACAATGAAGAACATAACAGTACTTAATTCATAAGGTTATTGTGAAGCTCAATGAAATAATGCATGCTAAGGCAGGCACAAAGCACTCAATGCATATTAGCTATTATTATTACATCTGAAAAACTATAAAAACAAAATACATAGGTTCACTACACCAGACTCCTCAAAATCTTAATCTGCAAACCCCAAATGACATTTGAATCAAGTCAAAATTAGCCCTGAAATGTGTTGACCTCAATTTCTAAAAAAAAAAAAGAGTAAGCTAAAAGGAATGGCCACATGAATCTGAGTGGGTTGCAAATCACGATTTAGATGTTTTTTAAACCACACCCTTCGTATATTATGCACAGATTGCAGGCAGCAGATTTCCCGAGAGCACTATGGCTAAAAAAAAAAAATTCAGAGTGCCTTGCAGAGGGTTGGCAAGAGTGGACTTTGGAACAGGCTGAGTCCCGTGGGAGGCCAAGTGTTAGCAGATTATAAGCCACTAAGTAGTTTACATGGTTGGGGAACGGGGAGAGGGAGTGAAGGTGTCTAAGAGAATAGTCCTTCCTCCCACTTGAAGGCACCTCACCTTCACGCAGCTCTGGGGTGGTTCATTTGAGACCACAAAAAACCATTGCCACTCACATGCTGTCCACTCTGGGACAGCACCACATAGAGGAGATATGAGAGGCTGAGAGTTTGCATCCAGTTCTCCCTTTTTGTGTGACCTTGTTCAAATCAGACTTTTCTAGGTCTATTCTTTCTAGGATGATTTCTTGAAAGCAAGTTTGTAGACCTTGATTGACCGATTGCTTCATTCATTCATTAATTCATTCACTGATTTAGTTGGATACTATCCTAAGTACAAAGGATTCTACAGCTGAGTGAGGTAGAATGGTTCTTGCCCTTAAGCAACTCACAATCTAGAGCTGCAATGTCCAGTAGTACATGCAGCCACTAGCTACATGTGGCTATTTAAATTTAAGCTTAAATGAATTTAAAGTATACAGTTTGCACATGAAATAATTTATATAGTATAACATGCAATATAAAATACGTGGCTGGATGTAGTGGCTCACACCTATAATCTCAAAACTTTGGGAGGCCAAAGCGGGCAGATCATTTGAGATCAGGAGTTCGAGAACAGCCTGATCAACATGGTAAAACCCTGTCTCTACTAAAAATACAAAAAAATTAGTCAGGCATGGTGGCACATGCCTGTAGTCCCAGCTACTTGGGAAGCTGAGACAGGAGAATCGCTTGAACCCGGGAGGCAGAGGTTGCAGTGAGCAGAGATTGTGCCACTGCATTCCAGCCTGGGCAACACAGACTCTGTCTCAAAATATATATATATATATATATATATATATATATATATATATATATATATATAAAATATATATTTTATAAAATAATTAAAATAAATTTTAAAAATCTGTCCCTCAGTCATATTAACCACATTTCAAATGCTCAATAGCTACATGTGGCTAGTGGCTACCACATTGGACAGCATACATCTAGGCCAGCGGTCTCAACGTTTTTGGCACCAGGGAGCAGTTTCTTGGAAGACCATTTTTCCATGGATGGGGGTGGTTAGGTAGGGGAAGGGGTTGGGATAAAACTGTTCCACTTCAGATCTTCAGGCATCATATTCTCATAAAGAGTCTTCAGCCTAGACCCCTTGCATGTTCAGCTCACAAAAGTGTTCATGTCCTATGAGAATCTAATGCCGCTGCTGATCTGACAGGAGGCAGAGCTCAGGCGGTAATGCTCACCCACCACTCACCTCCTGCTGTGCAGCCCAGCCCCTAACAGGCCATAAACCATTACTGGTTATCGGCCCTAGGGACTAGGGACCCCTGATCTAGGACATTTCCATAATTGCAGAAAGGTCTATTGGACAGCACTGGTTTGGTAGAAGGGAGAACACTGAACACATCACTGCAAATAATTATGAGAATTGTCTTAAGTGCTATCAAGAACTAATACAAGCCTGGGCAATATATTGAGACCTGTTTCAAATAAAAACATTTTTTTTAAAATTAGCCAGGTCTGGTGGCTCATGCCTGTGGCCCCAACTTCTAGGGAGGCTGAGTTAGGAGGATTGCTTGAGCCTGGGAAGTCAAGGCTGCAGTGAGCCATGATCGCAACACTGCACTCCAGCCTGAGTGACAGAGTGAACTAATGCAGGGTACAAGTAAGGAGACTAGTTTTAGATGGGAGGGAGTATCACGGAAGGCTTCCCTGAGGAAGTGACGTTTGACCTGAGCCTCTGGAGATGTGTAGGAGTCATCCAAGAAAAAGAGGATGAGGAGCATTCCGGAAAGAAGAAACTGAATGGGTAAAAGCCTGAATTGGGAAAAAAGCTTGGCGTGTCTCAAAACCAACCAACAGATCATTAATGAACAAGTGGCTTGAGGGGCAACTGCTGAGGACAACAGGGACCAGGCCATACGGGGTCTTGTATTATATGACAAGGAGTTGGGATGTCATCCTGCATTTGCTGAATCTACTGTCTCCTTTCTTACAAACACTGTCTTTCAAGATTGAGTATGGGTCCACTATTTTAATAAATCTGTCCCTGACTTCTGCCGGTCTTAATAGCAGAGGTAAAAACGTGGAAACACTGAGGCAGACCTGGGTTCAAACTCTAGCTGTGGCCCTATCTGGGTGGCCTCGGGCCAAAGACTTCTTCTCCCCAAGGCTGAGTGCCTATCTGCAGAGTCAGAACAGTGATAATACCTGCAGGGCTGTTGTAAGGATCAGGGAGATCATCACTGGGATGCTGTCAGCACAGGGCCTGGCTAAGTAGGGGCTCGATTCGTGGTGCTGGTGTTTCCTCCACTGTGGATTTGTTTCCCTGATCTTCCAACTTATTAGATAGTAGGAGTGCCTGGAAGCCACATTCTCTTGTGTAAAACACTAAGAAGATGCCTGCTGTGGTATGAGAACACGTGTCTGAATTTGAACTCTTTGTCTGTCCTCCACCTCCTCCTTTTTCAGCCTCCCTCATCTCACCTGATGACAACTCCAATTATCCCATTCAGCCAGAACTCTGGAGACAACTTAGACTCCTCTCTTTCTCCCACTCTCTGTTTTGTTTTGTTTTGTTTTGTTTTGTTTG